GTAGCATCTTGGTTTATTTGAGGGCATTTTCTTTCCTTGTTTTTTCATGTTGTTTGTGTGTGTTCCTCTCTAACAGTATGGATCCAAGGTGTTATAATTTCGACCCCATAGACTTATGGTGTCCCTGCAGTTTTCCAATACCTTACCCTTAAAGGGGAGAACAATATTAACAGCATCCAGTGCAAATACTATGCAGTGTTAAAAACAATATCTGTATTAAGACGTTTACAGTTTTGTTGCAATAAACAGAAATGATGTATTCTATCATTATCTAGAATATAAACAGTATGTTTGCATAAGAATCTATAGATTCTAATGTTGGACAAAGAGAGAATGGTGGGTGTAGGATGAGATGTTAATGAGGGAGTGATAATATAGAGGCATTAAATCATAGGAAACGTGAAAGAGGAATCTAAAGAAGGTGGTTCTTAACAGGAGAAGAGAGAGGAAGAGACTCTGGGGAAACACATAAATGAGGCAAACATAAAGAGTGAGTTAAAAAATAAAAAGAAAAGGGAAAAATGTAAAAATAAAAGAATATACAATAAATTGTAATATACTATTTAGATATCCCAGTTCTCAGTAGCCTGATGTATGAAAAGTACTTGGTTTTACAAATATTGGGGCTGTGAGGACAGGAAAAGGAAAAAATCAGTAAGGAAAATTGAACAATTGTTTCTGTTGGAGTTCAGTATCTTCCCTGCTTTCCTTATTTGATAGATGGGGTTTTCTGGAGTTTGCTGGTATCTCCACCCTCAAGATGGTGAAGGTTACTAGAGTGGGAGGGTCAGTGTTGGAGGTGGAATTCCTAGAGGCAGAGTATAGCAATTGCCAGTCCCCATTGGAAGATTGCACTCCAGGACTCTCCTTTGGGATAGCTCCTTTGGAGTCCAGTTGTGTGACATGGTATCCTGGTCTTAGCCCCTTACTTCATCTGTGAACCCTACAATTCTTAGTCTCAAATTTAGTGTCTAAACTGTATCTCTCCTACCGCCATACTTTAGACTTCCCAATCAGGAATCTTTCTCTCTAGAGGTCCTGAGGGCTGAGTGCCAGGATCTGCGTGCCTGTCATGGAGACCTGTTCTGTATCAGGCAGATCAGGACCAGGCATTGAGAGCTATTGTCTGCTGCAAGCACTGGGCTGGGTTAGTGGTTGGAGATACCTTGATGTTGGGCTTCCAGATCCTGGCCAGTGTCCCAAGATGAAAGCTGTCCCAAGTAAAGATGGTGATGGCAATGGCGACAGTGGAGAACCCAAGATGGCGGCAGAGGTGTCCCAAGATGGAGGTGACTGCTTTCAGAGATGGGGTAGCGAATGTGGGCCCTGTGGTGGCATTGTCTGGCCCATTCAGAGATATAGCACTGTGCCAGGTGGTGCTGTGGCAGGTGGCTTCCTCCAGGCTCTGTCTTGTGTCCCAAGGTGGAGGCTACCACATTGAGGGGGCTATGGTAGTGGCTGCAGTGTCCCAAGATCTGAATATTGCTACTTTAAAAAGTATTTAAAAATTAAGCAACTTTGTTGTATATATTGGGACTAAAAGTTATTTCATTAAAATTCATCTGTGTTCTTAATTTATGCTTACTATTTTTATTTTACTATTAAACCAGAGCGTTATGCATCCAAGGCAAGCACTCTACCAACTAAGCTATATCCCCAGTCCTGCTTAGTATTTAAAAATTTTTTTTTTTTTTAGTTGTTGATGGGCCTTTATTTTATTTATTTATAAGTGGTGCTGAGGATCAAATCCAGTGCCTCACACAAGCTAGGCAAGTGCTCTATTGCTGAGCTACAACCCCAGTCCTTACTATTGTTTTGTGTTTTTGTTATGCTTACTATTTTTTTTTTTTATTCTGAAATATCTTAGGAACAAAGAAATGAGTTTGTTCTGTCATTGTATTCTGGTGATAGGATTGAATTATAAGCTATTTTTTTTGTTGTACTCTACTTTATAAAAATGTTTTAATTCATTCCTGCTTACCCAAGTTTAGTGGAATAGAAATGCATAGATCAAAGATGAGCTTTCTACATATGTATTCCAATTCTGAAGTGTTGTAGCTTAGATTAGTAGGGAGGTGAAGTGAGTTATACTAAGATTAGGGCCCTCAAATTTTTATGTTTCAGATTTTCATATTTTTATTGTTTCAGATAGAAATAAGATCTTTTTAGGGTTTCATAAACTATTAAGAAGTCTTTCATTGAAATTTCTCAACAAGTAATTAATATTTTTAAAAATAATATCAGGTGGCCTTAGGGGTTGAAGCATAAAAAGTTTGTATTTTCTAGGTTTCTGTTTCAAGATGATAGATGCTTACAAAATTACTAATATTAATTCACAAGGACTAGAATTAGCAATTTTAAAGGATAAATATGTTGAATTATAATCATGCACAGTTTTATACTTTGTAGGCAACAAAAAATAAATATTAATAATAATATTTTTATTTAGCTACTACATTTTCTCCAAGATTGTTCTCAGGCTGGAGAATTTATTTATTGAAGATTTTGGAAGGTTGTTTCTGGATAATATTGTTGATAGGTAAGCTAGTAGTGACACTTTATGTGTGCTATTGTCATGAGAGAATTGAGTGTAATCTAATTGTTGCATATGAACTGAGAACTAAGAGAAACATAGATTTAGCACAGTGGATTATATTAGGTTTGGTTACTTGTGACAAAATTTACAATGAAATAGGAGCCAGTTTCTTTCTTATGGTCAAAGATTTGGAGATATCCTCCAGCTCAGTGATTAGGAATCCAGCTCCTGTTTTCTTGCTCTTGTGTCTTTTTTTTTTTTTTTTTTTTTGTGTGTGTGTACTAAGGATTGAACTCAGGGTCACTCTAAGAGTCTCACCAAATGGCCCAGGCTGCCCTTGAATTTGCAAGTCTCTTGCTTCAGCCTCCTGAGTTGCTGGGATTACAGGCGTGTGCTACCATGCATAGTGTCATGTCATTTTTTTAGCTTTCCATTTCACAGTATTTCCTGGTGTTGAGGGCCACAGCCAGTCCGGGTGGCACCTGGCATTTTGCCAGAGGAAGTGGTTGAGAGGTGACACCAGCAAGCCATTAAGATGATGATGGTTAAGTTAAGCTGTGTATTCAGTTGTATATAGACCTTTGCTGCTCCTGCTGCCTCAGGTGCCTGCTACTTTGGAGTTCCCTTTGAGTTCTCCAGAGGGTTCCTGGGAAGTGCGCGTGGAGTGCTGGTGGAGTTCGGGCAATAAAGTAGTTCCTGTTTGAACCTACAAGTGCCTCGTGGCGGCTGGGTTATTTTGTGCCCAGCCAGACTTCGGCATTTGTAGAAAGGAACAATGAAGAAAATCTGGGAGAGGGTTTATATCAGCTCTGTTTTTTAAAAGACTTTCTGGAAAGCTACAATATAACTTTTGTTTACCTGCTTTAGGCCAGAACATATATAGTCCATGTCCACTCCTAACTACAAGAAAATATGACAATTATAGCCTTTTTCCCCCTGTGCTTCATATATCTAGTTAAAAATTAAGGATTATTTTGCTAAGTAGGAAAGTGAATATTTGAATAGCAATTGGCATCTTGTTTCATAGTAAATAAAGCGACCCTAGATATTAGAAATTCTCTAATTGACTGCTACTTTCCTGCTAACCTTTACCAATCCCTGGGCTCTTAGAGGACACTAAAGAACATTATACCCCCTTTTTTATAAAATTGTAGCTGTGTGTACATGCATGGATTTTATTAGGATTGTTATCTCTGAAATCTATCCATGAACTGTGGCCTGGTTTTTTTTTTTTTTTTTTTTTTTTTAATGATCCCACTGTTAAGATTTTCTATTAGAGTATTCCACTGTAAGAGTTTTTTTTTTTTTGAGAAAATTTCTCTGTTTATTCACTCACAAGTTCCTAGTGTGCTCTGTTATCCAGTAAATACAACAGCTTTTAAAGATTAAAGGACACCATGATAATCTATTAAGTGCTTACCATGTGCCTGACATGGAACTGTAAGCCTTAAGTACATTATTACTTTTCTCCGTTTTATAATGTGAAAATAATCAACCTTAGGATTTATAGCTAGTGAATGCTGGAGCTTATATTTGAACCCAGGTCTAACATCAATATCCTTTTTTAGTTATCATAAAATAGACACTTTACTGTAAGCATTAGATACATTGAGGAGAAGGATTTTTAACGGTTCAGTTTCAAATTCTTGCCTTGATTTATATAATTAGGAGTCTCTTTGTGTCTTAGTTTTTTATTACTCTTTTGCAAAACCACTTAAATTGTTGAAGTATATGATAATGCTACTCTTCTGATTTTGTATTTTTTAAACCTATATTGCAATCAGTAAGAAACAAGGCAAGTGACAAATGCCAACCAGCTATCTAAACTAAGAGCCATACAAAATGATCATATTTGAAAATGTCTTCTCAGCATTCATTGTATATATCATTAAAACATTCTGTGAAAACCAACATTTCATCACCTTGTAAAGTGGAACTCGCTGTTGCTGTGGATTCTTTTTTCTCCCAAGCGTGCTGTCATGGACGCAGACGGCATCACACATGTACTTGAACATAAAAGCTTTTTGCTTTAAGCTGAGGTTTTTGACCCCATTGATAATACAGACATTCTCATAATTTTCTCTCTTCAGCCCCTTTATGAACTAAAAAGAATAGAAAAGGGAAAATTATGAGTAATTATAGTATTAAATTACTATGGAAAACCATTTGAGTACTTTAAAATTCTCTTTTCAAATCACCAGCTTCTTAAAATTCTTACATTGACAGGTTCTAGATTATGAGCACGCCTTTATTTATCAACTGATACCTCTGCCTCTTGTTTTATCAAAAACATTCTTTTCTTGCTTATTTTCACTATAGAGGCTAGATGTGACTCCAGAAGTTTTCATAATAAGCAAATAGGCAGTAGTATGCCAGCTGCTGCTTTCTAATCTCTGGACACAAACTGTCATGAAGCAGCATTTGGTTGTTCTTTCTGTAAGTGTTGATTCTTATTTAATTCTAGGGCGATTTGATGAAACTGTTATTGAAGAGAGAAGACAGTGTGCTGAAGACCTGCTACAGTTCTCTGCCAATATTCCAGCTCTTTACAACAGTAAACAGCTTGAGGATTTTTTTAAGGTTTGATAGTCTTCTGGAATATTTTATATCATATTGAATATTTTTATTTTCTAATTTATAGTAAATTGAAGTAGAAAATTCATTACCTTTTGAATTTCATTGTTCACTAAAAATGTAGAAGTTAATTTCTAAATAACCATGTCTGTGGCATATCTTGCTTTTAGCATAAAGAGCTATAGAGTTTTTGATTGAAAAATCTTAAAAAATTGATGCAAAGGGCTTAGGGATTTTCGAATTCAATCACAATTGGAATACATTAAAATTTGGTATCATGAAACTCTTTTTCTTTTTGAGGTATATTTCAGTGGCAGACTTCTCTTTGAGATATAAAATCCTACAAGTCCATATTACATTTGTTGTAATTATGTTGGTTTGTGTAAAGATATAAAAAATTAGTCTTTGCACAGTTTTAGAGAGGTAGGCCATTACACGTAGTATTATCTGAGATCATTGAATATTAATGTTTTGAGTTTTTTGACATAATGCTTTAATTCTGAGTTATTTATCATTTTTAATAATTATTTTCTAATATATTTTCAACTTAACCTGTGCAGGTTGTCAGTTTCTTTCACTGTTTTTACCCCCATAGTTTTCCTATTGCATTTAGTTAGCCTTTTAGAAAAAAAGCTAGGTGATGGTTTTATCATTGTTTTTTTTTTTTCCTTTTTTAATTTTAGCTGAAAATACACTGGTTTGTATAAATTAAATTTCTTAGAATACATAACTATCATGATATATCAGTAGTGGGGTATTTAATTTTACTGGTGCTAGTGAATCTCTACACAGGGAATTCATTTTTTTATGACCTAATTTAGTTTACTGAAGAAATATGATCTTTTGAAAGACATTGCAGACTTATGACTTAGAGTAATAGAAATAGTAATAGAAAATTTTGTAATGACTAGGTGTAGTGGTGCAGACCTGTAATCCCAGCAATTTGCTGAGGCAGGAGGATCACAAGTTTGAGGCCAGCTTGGGCAATTTAGTGAAACTCTGTCTCAAAAAATGAAAGGGGGTGGGGATATGACTCAGTGGTAGAGTGCCCCTGGGTTCATTCACCAGTATCTGAGAGAGAGAGAGAGATAGGTAGGTTTGTATTAACTAAATTCCTTATGATTGACCTTGTTGTTTACTTTTTCATTACTCTGCAAACTAGACTGAGATCATAAATTTGGTTTCTGCTAATTCCCCAGTGCAGATCTTTGAAATAAAAGGCCAAGTCAAATTGATACAGTATTTGACTCTTTGCTATTCTCTGTTATAGTTTTTTTCCCCCCACTATCTGACAGAGAATCAGTACTTAGGAAAAAGGCTATTACTATTAAGCAAGAAGATTTTTTCTTTATAGAGGTGGTGAAAGGTATAGAATTAAAAAAATCAGTTTGGGAATTAATAGAAGTCAAATTATAGGTTCTAAACAGTTTAAATAAAAGTTTCCTGTTTGTTCCATTTCTTTTGGATTTGGAATGCCTGATTATAATTGCTTCTGGAAGAATTTTTACACTTTAGGAAATGAGACCTTATTTTTAGGGTTCATGAAAAAATTGACAGTTTTAAGAGGAGTCATAGTAATTTTGGAAAATATCTTGGAACTATTTTAAGCAGTGCTGGACAGGAGCAGGATATGACAGTAGTTTTAGTCTTTTGAAATAGAGAAAATATGGTCTTTAAGGTTATTTAGCTACAAGCAAAGAAAAAAAAAAAAGCTTGCCTCTTGTCTCATCCAAGAGGTCTGAGTGAGGAAGGTAGTTACAGGCTGGTATAGAGTTTAGGAATGTTATCAAGTATTTATAGATTTCTGGGTTTGAGTATGAAAAGCAAAGTGTCAAAACAAACATGCTAGCTTTTACAGAAAGAATGTCTAGAGGTAGTTCTTACATCTCTTTGACCAGAACTGGGTCACATGACTATCCTTAATTTGAAGGAGATCACCGGAAGATGATTTTTAGCTTTCTGATTCTGATCATGGTTGAAGATGGGGTAGTGAGGGGAGGTTTTGGGTTAGCCAGTCTGTAGGGTATGTGCCTCAATAACATTTTTTTTCTGTTTGTAGGAACACTGATGATATCACACACAAATGACCATATAGCCACTTGTTTAGGCTGAATTTTTTGTTTTTTGGGTACCTGGGGTTGAACTCAGGGCTCTCCACCACTGAGCCACATCTCTACCCCTATTTTTTATTTTATTTAGAGACAGGGTCTCACTTTACTGAATTGGTTAGTGCCTTGCTTTTGCTGAGGCTAGCTTTGAACTCATGATCCTCCTGCCTCAGCCTCCTGAGCTGCTGGGATTATAGGTGTGTGCCACTGTGCCCAGCCTGACTTTTCTTTAAAACATTCTTAAGAGTTGAAGGAATAAAATAATGGATCTGTGTATTACTCCTCATTTACCTTCAAAAATTAATAGTATAGGGGCTAAGGCTGTAGCTCAGTGGCAGAGCAATTGCCTAGTGCATGTGAGTCACTGGGTTCGATCCTCAGCACCACATAAAAATAAACAAATTAAATAAATGTATGCTGTCCATCTACAACTACATAAATTATAAATTATATAATTTATAATTTAAAAATGTTATCAGACATTAAAAAAATTTAACAGTATATCGCCAATCTTGTTTGACTTATGTTTTTCCATCACATATTATTTAATGGTTATTTATTATAGCTTTATTGACATAACTTAAAATTTACTAGTTATAATAAGTATGCAATGAATGCACTGACTTTCGTTTACAGACTTGTGGAGTTATTGCCACCAATCAGTTTTAGATCATTTCCATTACATCAAAAAGTTTCCCCATGTCTTCTTGCCAGTGTTCCCCTTTCCCATTCCCAGCCCTGCACAGCCACTGTTTCTGTCTATAGATTTGCCTTTTTTCAGTGTTTCAGATACATTGAATCATATGATAAGTAGTCTTTTGTTCTAGTTCCTTTCACTTAGCATGTTTTTGAGCTTCATCCATGTTATATCTTGTATCACTATGTCATTCTGTATATTATTCACTGTATATTGCAGGATAGTTTTCTGTTAGTAGTTTCCCTCTTATTAGTTCCAAGATGCTTTATGGATGCTTGAAACTGTGGGAGTACCAAGCCCTATATAAGCTATGTTTTTTCTTGTTTATACCCTATAAAGTTCAATTTATGAGTTAGGCAATAAATGATTAGCAACAATAATAGTAAAATACAAAAATTATAGCAATATCCTATGATAAAAGTTGTTAAAACTTATAAATTGTTTATTTCTGGATTTTTTCATAAAATATTTTCAATCTGCACTTGATGGTAAATGCAAAGCAAAGTTGTAGATAAGGAGGGACTTCTGTATATGGATTATACCATATCTTGTTTGTTGACAAGTTGATGGACATTGAGTTATTCTAGCATTTGGCTCTTACAACTTAGGCTACTGTGAACATTTATGTACATATCTTTGTGTGGATATATGTTTTCATTTTACTTGGGTAGATTGTGAGGACTGGAATTTCTGAATCTTAAGTTTATGTATTAAAGAAACAGCCAAACTGTTTCCTGAATTAACTTACCATTTATATTCCCCAACAATGTGTGGAAGTCCCAGTTCTCTTACAACCTCACCAACACTTGGTATTGTCTGATTTTGCTTTCCTAATGGTGTAACGATGTTTAATGTGCTTATTCATATAAATTCTTTGGTGAAATGTCTGTTAAAAATATGCTTGTTTTTTGATTGAGTGGCTCTGAATATATTCTGGATAAAAGTCTTCTATTAGATATAGGATACAATCCTCAGAACAGTACGATATTATTATCCCTGTCCGATATGGGACTTGTAAATATTTTCTCTGAATCTGTGGCTTTGTCTTTTCATTTTCTTAATGGGTGCTATTTGAAGAATAAAAACTTCCAGTTTTTAATAAAGTACAATTTATCAGGTTTTCCATTTTTCATGGATTATGCTATTTTTGGCATTTCTAGAGCTTTTTGATTTACCCAAGGCTATGAAGATTTCCTCCCTAGATGGTTTAGTTTTACGTTTAGGTCTGTGATCTGTTTTCAGTTAATTTTTATGGATTAAAGCAACAGTGTAAATTCATCTTTTGTGACATGAGATCTAATAGTCTTGGCACCATTTATTGAAAAGATTCCTTTCTCCAGTGAATTGACACTATTATTGAAAATAAATTGACTGTAAATGTGATGGCTTATTTTTGGACTGTTGATATGTCCTATTAATTTGTGCTTATTCTTATGCTAGGACCATACTGCTTAGATTACTATAGCTTTATAGGTTTTGAAGTCAGATAGTATAAATTTGCCTACTTTTTGCCCAAATTGTTATGGAAATTTTGAGCCTGTTGAGTTTACATAAAAAAGTTTGGCATCAGCTTGTTCATATGAACAAAAATTTTCATAAAATTTAATTTGAAAGTACATTAACTTTGTAGTTCAATTTGGGGAGAATTGTCATCTTACTATGCTAATCCATGAACATGAAATGACTCTCCATTTATTCAGATGTTTTTAATGTCTCTCAGTAGCATTTTTTAATTTTCAAGGTATAAGTCTGGTATTTCTTGTGTTACTTTTATTACTCAGCTTCTTATTCTTGGAATCTAGTAGTGAATGGAATTCACTTAGTATGATGCTTTAAAGATTCATCTGTGTTGTAGCATAGTACTTTATTTTTTTTATGCCTGTATGATATTCATTCATATGGTTATGGATATGCCACTTTAGGTTTGTTTTTGTTTACTAGTTAAAATTTAGATTCTGTACATTTTGGCTATTTATGAATAATGTTATTATGAATATCAGTGTATAGTTTTTATATGGATTGTGAAAATTTTGTTTCTCTTAGGCCTGGGAGGAACAGAATTGTTGTGGGAAGATTTTTAATTTTAATTTAATTTATTTACTTATTCTTTGTTCTGATTTTTTTTTCTTCTTTTTGTGTCAGCATTGGTAACATGTCTTTCTAGGAATTTTCACCAAAATTGTATAATTTGTTGGTATAAAGTTGTTCACAGAATTCTCATAAAACATTTTTAATTTTTAAAGTCTGATCTTATTTATTGCTCTTAAAAAGCCTTATTAGTATTATTATTATTTTTTTTACTTAACTCAAATTTAGAAGTAGGAGCTCTCAGAGAGGACAACCTGTGTTTCTTTTCAGTCTGTTGCTGGCATTTTTCTTTGGCCTTCATTTTCTTGGCTAAAAGTTTAGCATATTGTGCAGCTTCTTGTTTTCTTTAGTGGGCCAGTTTTTCAGAGCAATGTACTAGTGTTTGTCCTGCAGGACATGTGGAGGAATAAGATACTTAATTTTAGGGGGCTTGTCTTCTTTATTAAAGGACTTTCTTAAAACTATTGGCTGTCAGAAGCTGCAACACAGAAGTGAGCATGGACCCTTAGTCTTGAGTGACAGGTGTGAGAATGGTTTCAGCTGCTCCAGGAAACAGGTGGATCTCACCTCTGCTCAGTAGGAGAAAGAAGCTCTGGGAGTGGGTGTCACCCAGTGAGACTGGGCTGCACCCCCTGAAACTCAATCCCTTTGCCTCATTTGGGAAGAACTTTCTTAAGTGTCTTCCCCTCAATAAAGAGGGTCTCAGGCGTGCTCTGTCTTTTTCTTTCCAATAGACCTTTAAGGTTGAGAGCAGTCTCTGATTCCTGAAAGCAAAAGGTATTTCTGAATGTTTCTTTTGTCGTCTTCTAGGTTATTGGTGCAGCCAGCTCTTGTGAACCAGGTTGTCAGCCCAGCTACTTGGTAATAATTGGCAGACATTGTCTTTTCTAGAGAGATCATATAGTTTGGGGATTCTCCTCATTTTGTGCCTCAGGTGATGAGGCACTGTAGTATCTGTCAGCCTTTGGCAGTATCGTTAACCAAGTTGAAAATGAATACATTGACATCCACAATGCCCGGATTTATGCTTGCTTTCTCCAGTTCTCTGTGGTCGATAGCAGAAATGTCCCCTACTCAATAGCAGATGGACATGGTTGGGGATCAAGACACCCTATTTCGTGGGAAGACCTTGTTTGTCATTTCTACTACTGAGACAGACCACATAATCCTTCTATTATCCCAGAGAGTGAGCAGCAACCTCTGTGGCATATTTTCCTTATAAAAAGCACAAAGTTTGAGCTCATCATCCATGTTAATGTGTTTCTGGCGGCCAGTGGCTGGGAAGGCAATAATGGAGCTTCATCCTGAAGCAGCTGATCACTGCCACAAAAAAAGAGCAGTGTTTCTGATTTTTATAGGTGTTAGTGATGTCTCCTCTTTCATTATCCTTTTGGTAATTTTGTATCTTGTCTGTTTTTTTTTCTGGGTCATCTTAGCTAAAAATTCACAGTTTTTGTTGATCTTTTCAGAGGAACAACTTTTAATTCAGTTTTTGTTTATTGATTTTGTTTTCTATTTCATTTTGTTAAATTTTGCTCTAAACTTTCCTTCTTTTTACTTGCTTTGGAATTATTTTGCTGTTTATCTAATTCCTTAAAGTGAAAAATTAAGTTATTGGTTTGAGAATGTTCTTGTCTAATTTAGGATTTACAGCAGTAAATGTCCCTGAGCACTGTTTGAGCCTCAACCCATAAATTTCTCTTTTTTTTAAAATTTTTTATTCAGCTCATTGTATATCCTGTTTTGTAATTTCTCTGTTGACCCATTGGTCATTTAGAAATTGATTCTTTAATTTCTAAATATTTGTGGATTTTCTGAAGTTTCTTTTATTGTTGGTTTCTAATTTTGTTTAATTGTGATTAGAGAATGTATTTTGTGTAATTTCAGTTCTTTCAAATTTAGGCGACTTGGTTTATTCACTAGCATATGCCATGTCCTTGAGAATATTCTAGGGGTACTTAAAAGGGATACATATTTTGTTGTCAGGTGAAATTTTTCTAACTAGATAAAGACAGTTCTTTTTGCTGTGCTAGAGAGCTAATGGGGTCTGTATTTCTCTGGGTATTTACTCTCTTAGTAGTAGTGTTTGGGCATAGAACTTGCTGGTGGGAGGCAGAAAGAAGGATGTTGAGGAGCAGAAGGGTTACTGTTTTAATTATTTATAATGTCTTAAAGATCATAAGTCCTTTTATTTGTGATTGGAGCTTTTGGTTCATAAAGTCACAGCACAGAATCGCGCCACCACTGCTTGTCTGATCATAACATTCTCTGGTTGCATATCGAGGAAGTGAAAATATCTTTTGAGGTCTGATTTGCAAATCTAGATATTTGATTAAAATGATGGTCACACTTGAGAAGTCAATCTTATATTTGTTTTTATGTCTTTAAAAAACTCTCTCTTCACTAGAAATATCTTAATTTTTTTTTTTACTTTTACCTAAGTTACATGTGAGTCTCAAACCTGAATGGCTTCTCAGATCACTTGAGATGTTGTGTAATATGTTGTAGTTTATAATTTGATAAAATTCAATGACTTCCTTATGCATTTTATCATTTATCACTAATTAAAATTACCAGTCCTTAAGAAAAAATATTCTTAAGCTGGTGAGTTTTTTCTTCTTGTGCATTTTCACACCTCAGGTTTTTCTATTATTAACATCTTGCATTGGTGTGGTACATTTATATAACTGATGAACCAATATTGATATACGTAGTGATTTTTGGAATGTAATTGTGAACTAGTTTAATAGATTAATAGCTCCTATATTTCTTATATATAATCAGTCAAGATAACTAATATATACTACCATTTTAAAATATTCTTAATGACAAGAAAACAATTACTCTGATCTTTTTAGGGTGGAATAATTAATGATGGTTCTGAATTAATTGGTCCTGCTGAAGCTCACTCAGAGTCCTTCATTGATACCTTTCCTGAGTATAGTACAGAAGGTAAGAGACTTTATTTTTTTTTTTTTTGCATTTAGAGGTTTTTCTTGTAGAAGACTGTAAATCATATCTATATAGTAAAAAATAGATGTATTTAGGAATTTGAGGGGATTTTACTGATTTTTTTATGTAAGATTTTTTTTTTTTTAGATTTAATTATCTCTGATATTGGGTGCATTGGTATTGGGTTGATAGTATCTCACATTTAATTAGAAGTTTTTTTCTTAGTGGTTTATAAAATAGTGATTCATCCTCAAATTAATGGCATCTTAAATTTGATGAAATGATATATTGTGTAGTTTAGTGTTTAGTAAGGCATTCTTATATACTAGACAGTATAATTTGTGGTATAAGAATGCTTTATTAAGTTTATTTAGCAGTATCTTACTTTTAGACAGTTTCAAGGCTGGCTTTAAAAATTTACTTATTTTAATTGCCTAAAAAGAATAAAACTAAGGTAATTTCAATCTTTTTGATATGTTTTCTAATAACATGAGTCTAAACCAAAGCAATATTTGTACTTTTAATCACTTTAATTCAAGAATGTTTACTCTTTAGTTTGATTCCTTTATTAAGCCATACTTGAATTTATATGAAAAATTTAATACATATGTTTTAGCTTTTGGATTTCTGTAACTAGTGTTTCTTCAAGGAAGATAATGGAATTAAAAAGAAAGATGGGGGGCACTGGGGTTGTGGCTCAGTGGTAGAGTACTTGCCTAGCATGCACGAGGCACTGGGTTTGATCCTCAGCACCACGTAAATGTTAAATAAAGATATTGTGGGGCTGGGGATGTGGCTCAAGCGGTAGCGTGCTTACCTGGCATGCATGCGGCCCAGGTTCGATCCTCAGTACCACATACAAACTAAGATGTTGTGTCCGCCGAAAACTGAAAAGTAAATATTGAAGAATTCTCTCTCTCTCTCTCTCTCTCTCTCTCTTTCTCACTCTTTCTAAAAAAAAAATATTGTGTCCACGAAAACTTAAGAATAAATATATTTTTTAAATATTTATTTTTTAGTTGTAGTTGCATACCATATCATTAATTAATTTATTTTTATGTGGTGCTGAGGATCAAACCTAGGGTTTGCCAGAGTTATAGACAAACATTGTTGACAGTAATTTTTCTCCACAACCTGTCATGCTTTTTAGGAAAAAAAAAATAATCTATTCTCCATGACCTGGTAGACATAGTCCCTTTGCAAAGATTTGAAAAAAAGTCTAGCCCTTGCTTGGGATGCTAGTGTGATCCTAATTCTAGAACTGGTTTCCTTGAAAGGTGACTTCTCTGGAAATAAACTTATCATTCTGTTGCCTCAGATTCCTCACTCATCAGGAAGAGGAGTAGATTTTTTCACCTGCAAAATATACTGATTCTTTATGATGTCCAATATCAAACTAGTAGGAAAGTTAGAAAGATTTGTAATTACATATTTATTAATGAGGAGTGTTGTTCTTGAACATGTAGACTGTTTCTTTCCTCTCTTTTAATTTTTTTATACAAGAATCAAAGGTTGTGTGATATGGGAGTGATTATGTTCTTTTGATAGCCTTTGTTAACTAGAAGGGAGTCTACCGTGATGAGGAAAGGGTATTAGGAGTCTCTTTTAGTTTAAGGTAGTCATAATGGGAGCAGTGCAACAATCTTTTTGTTCATTTTTGTAGTCTGGGAGAGAAGGAGAAGGAGGAGCATTATTATTAGGAATAATTTTTCTTGGAATGGTGTGCTAAATATTGAGGCTGTTCAAGTGAACAGGTGGTTGTATTAATGCTAAAGGAGAGACAAACTAAAGCTAGGGTGAACCTACAATTTATTGTTCAAATTGAGATACTTCTGAGAATTAAAGCCAGTGCTGTATTAGTAATTACACCAAGATCACAGGCATAACACAGGACTACCCCATAACCCTCCCAAAGCACTTGTTTTAGAGTTTACCTCTAAATTTTCAAAAAAGATGTATTTTCTTTGGAAGGATTTATTTCTTAGGAATGTGTAATTCCTTTTATGAGAGAAATGGGGACAACATTTTTGTTAAAAACACAGAAAAAGACTTATGCACCTAAAACTAATATTGACATTTTATCCTGTCACTAAAGTTTAGTGTTTCAGCTGCAGTACTATCTCTAAAACATCTGTGGTTCATGAGACCGAAGAGTATGAAACTGGAAATGCTGTTAATGCTTATGTCTCCTTCCCCATTCCTTTTAAAAGCCTTTTTGTCTGGCTAATTAATCCTGATGAACAAGACACCTAAGTTGACAAATATAGATAGATAGCATTGTCAAAAAGCTTATAAATTCATTATTTCAGAGGGAAAATGAGTAGTAAATATCATGAGATTGTCTGATATAATAGGAAAGTAGAAGATTTGCTTTGTAAAAAGTCTGGAAAATACAGAGACAACCACAGGAAAGGGCATTCTGTAGCAATAGAGCAAGAAAGGTGACATCCAACCAAGCCCTATAGGTATGCAGTGAAACGGAGGATCGTAAAGAGATCGTATTGACAAATGCTTGTAGTTTGGATTTAGAGCCGAAATGTGAGATGATTTACTCCATAACAGTTTCTTCGAGTGTAGTATTTCAAATGATGTCTTAAAAATGGATTGTCATTTTACATACTTAAGAATTTGTTTCTTGGTGGAATAAGCCAGAGGGGTAAATCTTAATACAGCCTGCTCTTTTCAAGATTGTTTAATTGCAGTTAGAAAGACAAGACATAGCGGTTTGTTTTCTGTTGCTGTAACAATATACCAGAGACTAGGTACTTTATAAAGAAGTGAGGCTTATTTTGTTTATGGTTTTGGAGGCTGAAAGTCCAAGGTTGGGCAGCACATTTGTTCAGCCTCTGGTAAATGCCCTCATGGCTATGTCATAACATGGTGGAAAAGCCTAAAGGAGGGGAAACAGCTTCATGCAGAGGCAATCATATGGTGAGACAGGAACCTAGAGACTGGGGAAGGGTCAGTCTAGTTCTTTTTACAACAACCCACTTGGTAACTAATTGGGGTCCCATGAGACCTACATTAATTTATTCTGAGGATGATGTCCCCATTGACTTCATTACCTCTCATTAAGTCCTTTTAACTGTTATATCACCTAACATTGTCACACTGAGGACCAAGCTTCCAGCACACACGCCTTTTTGGGACAAACCATATATAAATCATGCCACATAGTAAGTTTATCACATTAACAATGCAATCAACAAATCCTAATTTACTATGGAATCAAAGTAGTGATGGAAACATGAAAATCTGGGATATATCCTTTTGTGTTAAAATTACGGTTGTTTTATAGTACAGTAGAATAGAGAAACCCCTTTGAGATGTCATGAAATCAATAACTTTGTGATAAGTTGGCAACTGTATTTTATTTAGCATGAGGCTGAACATTATGAAATTATTCTGTAGATTTTTAGACAAAAGGTTGACATTGTTTTGCATTTTTTTAAAAAAAATGTTGGTTATTATTTATCTCCTTTGTCCAAAGCAATTAAACTATATTTTCTCAAAGATGAGAGGAGATATAATTGATAGTTAACATTTTATTTCCATTTTAGGCTTCTGTGTTTTATTTGAATTAAACTTAGCTATGAAGTTACTATGACATTTGTGGAAACCTGCCCAGATGGTGCATGGGAACTGAGCATCTTGACATGTTTCTCTCATCTGTTGGCCCGTTTGAAGGATGCAGGTGGCTTTACTGCCATGCTGCCCTTGATATTGGTGCCTTTGATGTTGGTTTAGTCTCATCTGGTAACCTGTGTCATTTCCTCTTCCTAATACGCTACTTGACTTCCTTTGCAGTTTTAGAGGGATGTTATCCAGCTTCATGCAGCAAATAAGGGAAAATAATTAGGTGATCATAACCACAAGCAGAATATGACAGATTGGCTTATTATATGTAGCAGATCTTAAGATGGTGCTGGGGATCGAACCTGGGGCCTTGTGCATGCATGCACTCTATCAACTGAGCTATATCCCCCAGCCCAAATCTTATGATTTTTAGATGTGCCTTGGAATAGCAAAATCTACCAGTTTTTTAGGAGGGAGTTCAGTGGATAGGATGTCTGTGAATTATGAATTAAGAACTCACAAGTACTCATTGTAACATTGATGGAGATAAGAAATGATCTATTAAGCAGTCTTAAACCGTCCATTTATTTATTTGTTATTTGGTGCTGAGGATTGAGCTCAGGAGCACTGTACCATTGAGCTATATTCCTAACCCTTTTTGCTTTCTTTTTTCAGACAGGGTCTTGGCTAAATTGCTTAGGGTTACTAAATTTGCTAAGGCTGGCCTTGAACTTGCAATCTTCCTGTCTTAATCTCTTGAATCATGATTATAGGCATACATCATGGTACCCAGCTAACTAGCCATTTTAGATTAAATGAGGTATAGAATGTATTATATATATACACACACATATATTATATATAATGTAGATATTTTTGGAGGATAGCATATATTGCTGATTTTTATAAGGGTTTCCATAAAATGACATTTAGCTCAAGATTTATGTGTTTATTTGATGAAAAGGCAATTCTTTTCTATATGTAGACAAGCACAAAGATTGTGGTTAAACTGTTACACTGAAGTGTTGATTATAATTAAAATATTGGAGGACTAATTGGGGAAAGTGTTTTAGTTAGCTTTTTTGCTGTTGTGACCAAAAGACCTGACAAGAATAGTTTTAAAAGGAAAAGTTTATTTTGGGGCTCATGATTCCAGACCTTTTAGTTCACAGACAGCTGACTCCATTCCTTAGGGCTGAGGTAAGGCAGGCATCATGGTGGAAGAGTGTGGCAGAGGAAAACAGCTAGGAACAGGGTACCTGGAAGGGGAGTGGGGAGAGAGAAGAAGAGAGGAGAGGAGAAGAGAGGGAGAGGATGGGTAAGGCATGCCCCCAGGGACCTACCTCCTCTAGCCTCACCCTATCTGCCTTCATTTACCATTCAGTTAATCCCTGTCTGGGAATTAGTTAACTTTTTGGGTTAAA